TATTCTAGAAGATTAGGGCCCCCCAATGAGACATAGGGGCCACACTCATGTGTTGATATTTAGAGTTTGTTGCTTAGCACATAAGGACTCGTTGATGCGATACAGAAATTCTGGCTATTTTTAATTGTAGAAGACTATCAGTAAAGATTAAAAAATTGTCGGTTAATAATAAATCGAAGATTCTCTTTATGTCGAAAGGTCATTTGTTTTGTTGCTAGTCGATAATTTAAGAAATGACGGCGTTAAGATCCTTGACCTTCAATTTGATATATTAACACTTGTTAATAGATTTCTGACGAACCTTGACCGTCGGTTTTTATTTCTTGATAACCGACCGGTTCAAAAATTATCGCTTATATAGACATAAATACATACACACATGTGACCATTGATTTTGCCACCTTTTTTTATTGTATTTTTGTTAGGTATGACTCATATACCAGAATTTGGAGTCTCTTGGAGTGAATGACATGTTAGTAATTTTTTAGGTGAGTTTTATCGATATTATGATGTGTAACCCTATGGGTACGTACTGGACTCCTCTGTAATAGTGAATTCACCGCTCTGCTTCCTAGAACGTAGACATCTTTGCCGAACCTCGTTAAATCTCTGTGTTCTTCTGAATTTGTGTCGATTGTGTCGATTCTTGTTTTTCTTCACCATAAATTTCTCAATAATTGGTATCAGAATGAGTTTCTAGGGCAGGGAAGAAAAATATTCGTGCATGGAAGAGGAAGATTTTGGCCGAGGAGTTCGGTCGGTGCTTTCCAACGATTAGGCAAAGGTAGTTCGCGGAAGATTGGAGCAGGCAGCGAGGAGATCAGTCCAGACGAAAGAGTTCACAAAAGATCAGTTTGCAGGCGACCGGGCGAGATCTTGTGGAAGCTTGCGCGACGGAGCCCTAAAGGGTTTCGACGAGTAGTTCGCACGCGACGTAGGGTTCGTGCGACACATGAGTTCATCGAGCAGGACGCGACGCAGGGTTCTGACTGAATTCAGAGAGCCCGATAAGTAGTTCTGCGACAATTCGGCGCAGGAAGGTCACAGAGAGGGCCAAGCTTCTTCCGCTCTTCATATATATATATACACAC